AAACGGCTTAGAAACCCAAAGCATTCAGGCAGACACACATGTGGGAAACGGGCATTAGGTACACAGTCACACACTGTGCAGTGTGGGCACATGTGTGTAGACTTAAAATTTTCTAACGACTGAATTTCTGAGCCAAAGGTTTATAGCACTTTAAATATAACTATATATTAAACTGAAACAGAGAAGATGGGTGGCCATTAAAGAAAAGCTAAAACTAAAAGGACTCACTCATTTTATTCATCTCAGATTAAATTCTTAAATAAAGATATCTTAAATTAAAGTCCCTCGGGTCAGGAATTTATATCACCCACCGCAGTGTTCCCGAGCCTGCGATACAGCTAGGATGGAGTAGATAACAAATGACAGGAAGAGAGAAATTGCCTGACATTCTTGTCCCCTGCGTAAAAAGTTCTCATTTTATCTAACTTTCTGGTGCAAACAAATACATCGAGATTCTAAATGGGCAACTCTAAATTTTTAAAAATTTAATTTTCTCAAAACCACAACTCTCCCCCTGATCTCAATACAATTTAAAACAGCATTTTTTTTTTTTTTAATTTTTTTTTTTTGCCCTGGCCGATTTGGCTCAGTGGTTGGAGCATCAGCCTGCAGACCAGAGAGTCCCGGGTTCGGTTCCCGCTAAGGGCACGTACCTCGGCTGCTGTTGTGTCCTCGGCCCCGGTTGGGGTCGTGTGGGTGACAACCAGTCGATGTGTCTCTCTCACATCGATGTTTCTCTCTCTCTCTTCCTCCCTCTTCCACCCAAGAATGTCCTCGGGTGCGGATAAAAACAGCATTTTTGTCACCCTGCTGACTTCTGCTAAAACAGTAAACTATGGGAGGTAGAGCATCACCACCATAATTCCTTCCTAACAAAAGTTTAAAGCAGCTAAAACATGGAGAGTCCGAAACGTAAATGAGAAGGAGGAGGATGAGAGCAGTCTGCACTGCCCAGGAACGCATGTGCTGCTCTAACCCTTTATGCGAAGGGCTGCACCTTCTCCGCACACCAGCACTAAAAGCAGGCACTGTTATTATTGTCTCCATTTTATAGATGAGAAAAGTAAGGTACAGAGGTAGATCAAAAGAATATTATATTTACCTGGTGAAATTATTAAAACCATAGACTCAGATGTCGCCAGCACACAAACATCATAAAGAAAATGAATAATCATCTCTTGGTCCTAAAATCAAAGTCTGACCGTCTTTGATATTCTGGCTACACTGTGTTGTTTAAGTTCAAGGCAGAACAAGAACAGACAAGTCATTTCCCCCATGAAGTAATAACAACCGGTCCCCAAAAGAGAGGTGGTATTAAGTTATCACAGATTTATATACACCACAAATATAAGGGTTCTTTAATTTCCAAAACTGCACCTACACAAATTGGGAAGGGCAGAAACATGTTTGTTCAGAGTTCACAGAAGAAAATGATACAATTCCCTTTCATCACAGGATTGGCCAAATACTAGGACTCTGATTAAGTGAATCTACATTTAGCCTCTGAATTTTGGGTCTTATGAAGTGATGATCAACTGAATATCCACAGACTTTTCATGGCTTACTAACGTGGCACCGAATTCTAACCAATCCAAAATGAGCAACTGTTCAAATCAACTCTTGCTACAAACGCCAGCCTACAGGCCTTCCATTTAAGATTGTCTAAAACATGGCTTTGCATTATCAGCACAGCTCACATTCACTGTATAAATTGACTTAAAAAATCAAACAAACAAACAAACAAAAAACCCAGGTATATTTAAAGTCACTGTAATCCACTTTCAATATAAATGAATATAGTAAGTACAAACCGTTAGGGAGTCAGGATAACGTAGGCAAAGCTGCTGGTGGGTTGCAGTCACCATCGGCACTGGGGAGGCCAGTAACACAAAAGATGCTGTGCTCATCCCAACATGTACACAAGCATTACCATTTTCAATTAAATTTACTGGGGTGACATTGATTAAGAGGATTATACAGGTTTCAAGTGCACATTTATGATACATGATCTGTATATATGGCATTGTGTGCCCAGCACCCAAAATCATATCATCTTATTACCATATTTGACCCCCTTTACCTTTTACTATCCCCAGCCTCCTTCCCTCTGAACCACCAGGCCCTTGTCCGTGTCTATGAATATTTACTTCTTTGTTTATTTGTTGCTTTTACTTTTATATCCCACATATGAGTGAAATCATATGGTTCTTAACTTCTTCTCTCCGACGTCTTCACTTAGCATGATATTTTCAAGATCGAGCCATCCTTTTTTCTGGTGCCATTTTTTACGGTGGCAGAGAAAAGCCTAGAAGATGCTGCTGAGCGGGGTAACCACCAAGGCTGCGGAATCGCAATGTCTGGGCTCCGATCCCGGTCCCACTTTGAGCAGTGAGACTTTGGGCAAGTCCTCATCCTCTCAAAGCCTCAGCCCCTTCGTGTGGAAAACTGGGGCGATGATACCTACCTCACAAGACAGCTATAAGGAGTAGGTAATTATGGCACATAAAGCACTTACTGGAGTATGTGGGTCATGGGGAGGGCTAGTAAAATGTCTGTTACCTCATCATCAATACCACCAAAACCATGCTTCAGATGGGAAGGACAAAATAACAGAAACTTGATGCTGACTACCACTAGACTGTTTCAATAAATGTCCATAACATTCATCAGAGATTTCCAACCCTGTCGTCTGTATACCCAATTCCACTGATAGCTTCTAACTGCTCCTAAAGGAAGCAAATATTCTAAGTTGTTTACAGCTTGACTTCTTCAAGAATAAGCATGTTAAAAAGCATTTGCCCTTGGTGTTCGTCTTCTCAATATCAATGATGTTTTGGTCATTTATTATTCTTCTATACTTGGTCTGTGTTCTTTTAAGCCCTAGATGGATATTTACAACACCCTGCTAAAAAGCCCATGGGTGATTATAACCTATGAATCATTCCAATCTCGTCCGCCTGTATTTTTTTTTTTTTTTTGTAAAATACACCCCTGATTTTCTCATTCCTTCAGTCTTTGCCTCAGTTCAAGCACTTGTGACCTCAGATGAGGCCACTGCCTCCTTGCTGACCTCCCTACCCATCCTCAACCTAACCCACCCTAACCCATCATCGCATTTACGGAAATGACAGTTTCCTGGAGGGAATGTCATTTTGCTGCTTGAAAACTGGCCACCAAGAGACTTTAGAAAGATATCACAGTGGATGGACCTTATTCAGATCTGATTCAAATAAAAAAACTATCAAAAAAATTTTCTGAGACAAAGAAATTTTAATATTTTAATGACACAAAGAATCATTTTTAAAGTTTGATAATAATATTGTGGTTAACTTTTAAGTCTTTATCTTTTACAGATAAAGATACATATCAAAATAGTTATGAATGAAATGATACATCTGGATTTACTTCAAAGTAATCCAGTTGGAGGTAGGGGAGGGGGAATAAAAGATGAAACATGCCCTGGCCAGTTTGGCTCAGCAGTTAGAACGTCAGCCTGCGGTCCAGAGAGACCCGGGTTCGGTTCCCGCTAAGGGCACGTACTTCAGTTGCAGTTTGTCCCCAGCCCTGGTTGGTCGTGCGGGTGGCAGCCACTCGATGTGTCCCTTCACGTCGATGTTTCTCTCTCTCTCTCTCCCTCTCCCTTCCTCTCTCTCCCTCCCACTCTATCTATACAAAAAATGGAAAAATATCCTTGGGTGAGGATAAAAAAATAATAAAAAAATAAAAGATGAAACAAAATTGGCCATCAATTGACAATGCAGATGATAAGTACATAGCCGGGGGAGGGGGGGTTGTTATGCTATTGTCTCTAATATTGGAAACATTTGTAATTTTCCACAATAAAATATTATTTGAGGGAGAAAGCTCATTTTCAGTTGCCCAAAAAATCGAGACCAACTTTTTTTTTAATTCCACATTTACAAGCAAGTATGACTAGCCTGTCTCTTCTCTTGGTTCATCATCCTGACACACACCACATGCCAGTCATACCAACATTATTACCATGTTCAAACATCAAGCCAGGGCCCTTCAGTTTTCTGTGTCGCTGTACAGACTGTTTCTTCTGCAAGAAGGTCTCACTAGACCAGTGGGCACACTTTTGAGACCTAGTTCAGAAGGCTGTTTCTCTGAGATGCTCCCCATGTCAGCCAAGCCTCCCCTTGCACTTCTTCAACCCTCTTATATTCTCAGTCATTTTGGTTAGTTTTTGTTGTTGTTGATTCCCTTTTATTCTACTTCTACTTCCCTCAAGAGATTATTGCTTCCATAAAGGCAGAAGCTGTGTTTTATTTATTTCAATAACTAGTCCCTATAACATGTATGGGAAGTAATTATTTAATAACTGCTTTGAAAAACAGGAAGGAAAGTCAACAGAACAACCGTCAGTCATGGCAAACATTATTAACAAAATATTATGTCTGGTAAGTCATAGTTTACATATATTAATACAACAATATTTATCCACTATGCGTTTATCGCAATCTTTAAAAAATTAGTTGTCTTTTTTTTCCAAGAAATATATTACACATCTTAAAAAAATATCACTATTATTTAAAGAAGAAACTGCCTAAAGAGATGTGAGCAGCTTATTTTTCTGTTTCTGAAAGATTATAAGCAAAAACACAGTATTTATGCTACCTTTACATCTCATCTGGTGTTGGTTGTGGGAATAGCAGATTTTGTTCTGCTAAAAAGACTCTGTACTACTTCTTATTTCAAAATGATAAAAAATGTCAAATTACCCCATAATGTGAAATAATATAGCTGACTCACATGTGAGAGATATACAGCTACAGGTGTGAAGTTATCAGCAAAGAACTGTAAGCATTTATGTCAGGAAATAGCTGCAATGGTTCACATTTCTAAACTATGAAAAATAAGTTAGTGCAAAAATAAGATAATGCTGACATAGCCGGCTGTTACTAATACTGCTTTGATTCTTTAAGGAAAGTCTTTAGCCACTGCATTATACAATGTACAAAGAGAACGGAAACACCTACTAGTATAAAACTTCATTTGCTTCATGTCTTTCGTATCTCACAGTTTCACACATTAACCTGTAAAAGAAATAAAGACATGAGTTCAACATTTGTCATGAAAAAACATTCTAATAGTTTAAAAACATAAATGAACCATGTAGTCTAGAAAGGTAAGATTAGTTATCACTTGTCAAAATTATTTACTAGCCTCAAGATCAATATTTTTGGTGCCTAAGATAACAAAATAAAGTAAAATAAAATCTGATAAAGAGATGCTAGAAAAAAACATATTGTTAGATGTCAACTTTGCCACATTTATCTTATAGGGAACAAAACTGTATGTGTTTTTTATAGTTTGTAAGTGACATTTGGACTGATTAATGTTCTCTAAGGTAAACAAAAAAAACAAGAAGGAGACTTAGAAAGAAAAACCTACTTATTTAAAAAGTGATAACTTCATTCATAGCTCAATATTAATGTTACCTAACAGTATGGAATTTCAGCTGAAAGTAGGCTTTTAGTAACTCAGTGTTTTTATGACTAATGACTAAATGGAAGCTTTACAAGTTTTGAATTGTTGTTTCAGCTGATTCATTCCTGAGGAAAAAATTATGCAAATTGTGGAAAACATGAGTAAATGTTAAAATATTCTAAAGTACCTCAAGAATAGCATCTTCAAAAAGTAGCCTATTATATTAAGCCCAAGTAAATTTTCCCAAAAATATAGAAATGCAAAAAAGAATAGAATGATGATGTCATGTCTTCCTGTGGAGAAACTAGTACACAGAAAGAAAAAAAAAATGTTGGCTACAAAGGTGATTTTTTTCTCTCTCTTTTTTTTTTTTTATCCTCCCAAGGACATTTTTCCATTTTTTGTTCAGATAGAGTAGGAGGGAGAGAGAGAGAGAGAAACATCGACGTGAAAGGGACACATCGAGTGGCTGCCACCCGCACGACCCAACCAGGGCCGGGGACAAACTGCAACCGAGGTACGTGCCCTTAGCGGGAACTGAACCCGGGTCTCTCTGGACCACAGGCCGATGCTCTAACCACTGAGCAACACTGGCCAGGGCCAAAGGTGATTTTTCCAACAGCACCTCCACTTTGGTCCATGAGTCCCCAGTCTATGAACCACTGGGATCAACCGCTACCCATCTTTCTTTCCTCTGCTTGCTAAATCTAATAAACACTACATGCTCTTGATTTTTCCTTAAACACAGGTCTCTTGGGTACTCATTTGCCTCCTTCTTTCTGCTACCACCACCCTATTTTAGAGATCTTTCTTATCCTCTCCCTGCCTCACTTAAACACCAAACCAAATGTCACAACTCTAGGAGTCAGCGTCGAACCTTGAACACACATCATTAAACATACAGTTTTCTTCCATAGATTGAATCACACAAATTCTTCAGAGAAAAGGATGATCGTCACCAGTGATGGGTCTACAACTACCTGGTCTTAAGTAAACAAGGCTCTGCCTTGTTTCCTGTTGGAATGAAAGAAGGGTCCCTGGCCCCAGCCCCATCACTGGATCGCACCCTTCTCCTCCGTAAGACCTGCCCTCCTGGCAAGCTTACCCCCAGACTCTACATCGCCATCTTTCCTCCTCTCTCCTGAGTCACTTCCTCTAACATATAAACACATCCAGCTATTATCCACTTTCGGCTCTTCCCATGTCAGGAATCCTTTTAGCGTTGTCTATGCACTGTCTTCATTTTCTCCCCCTCTTCCACTCTCCCACCATTTGATTGCTGAACCTCCAAAGAAAAGGCTCTAAAAAGTTATCAGCATCCTCTGTGCTATCTGAATCCTTTCTGTCCATGTCGTAATTCCACTTGTCAGCAGCAACTGATGAAGTTTCTCTAGGCTGTCTGTCCTTGGTCTCCAGGTTTCCCTTTTTCTTTTTTAATTTTTTTTTCTTTATTCATTTGAGAGAGAGAGGAAGTGAGAGGGAGAGAGACAGAAACATGGATGAGAGAGAACATCGGCTGGCCGTCTCCTGCATGCCCCCCACTGGGCATGTGCCCTGACCAGGAATCAAACTGGTGACCCCTTGGTGCATGGGTCGACGCTCAACCACTGAGTCACACCGGCCAGACTCCAGGTTTTTCTTATAATTCATTAGTCACCTTTTCTGTCTCCGTTGGATTCTCCCCTGATTCAATCCCTCTCCCTGACTTCTACAGGTTCTATATCACCTTCAGGGACCCATCACCCCTCTTCTCCTGTGCACCATGTAATTTCACCCAGTCTGATTTCAAATTTAATGTATTAACCGGTGACTTCCACAGCAATGCCCCAGACCTAATCTCTCACCATGATATCCACTCATCTAATGACCATTTCATGTTCAAAATGTCCAAAACAAATCTTGAACTTCTTCCCCTAAAATCTCCTTCCTCACAATCAGTACCCAGTTTTCAATCCAAAAATCTGGAGACCTCATCCTTGACTCCTCTCTTTTTTCTTCTCATCCCATCTTTCTGCCAGCATGTGTTTCCAAAATATATCCTTCCAAACAAACCCAGGTCACCATCTCCCCTGTGAAAACCTAGCATTAGCCACAATGATCCCACTATTATCTCTCCCCAGAACTGCAAGGGAAGACCTTGCTGCCTCCACTTTTTGCATACCTATTGTCCATTCTCCACATAACTTCCAGACAGACCTTTGCAAATGGTAAGTCAGATCTCCTCATACCTCTGCTCTTAATTTCCACTACATTCAGAAGAAAATACAAGCTCCTAATCCTTGAGTACAGGGCCCTATACCTACTGTACTTTAATTACTTAAGTCTATCTTACTGTGCCACAAAACCTGTCGTCTCGTACATCAAACCTGGTCCCGTGACAGAGCATCTACACCTGCCTGGCTCACATGTTACCTCCCTTTGACTACTACAAAGTCAAAGCAGCCCAGGCCCACTCTTACCAGGTCCAGTACATCTGAATCGAACAACACTGACCCACTCCCTAAATCGTGTCTGCCGCACTGGGAACGTAAGCTCCACAATGGCAGCGGTCCGGTCTACTTCCATGCTGTACCTCCATGGCCTACATCAGCATCTAGCACACAGTAGGCATGACATAATCAGTAACTGTCGGCAGGATAAATAAATTTTACCAGTGCATCAAAGAAAAATCATAATAAAATCTTCTATATGACAATATTCTAATAAATTTAAAAAGTACCAAAAGTTTTTTATCCTTAAACATTGTCAGAGAATGTTTTATCAAAAGCCTGTTGACCTTGACTAGAGAATATACTAACCCTAATTTAGTTGTTTTGTGATGATCTAAAAGTATCCGTGTAGTATTAATTGCACTAATCCACAACGCTAAAGAATACCTGCACACAGTTCAGCAGGCTCTTATTTCCAGCACTGATGGGTCCCAGACACTTACTGTGCCTTTTACAGATTTTGGTCTCCACTCCTAACCGTAGCAACCTCATCCCCTTTGGCCCACGTGATGCTTCTAATCCACATGGACTAGGAAAGTAAACATGAAAAACATAACATTGTGTTGAAAAGTGTGTCGTTTTTTGGGGGGGGGGGTTGGTTTTTTGTTTTATCCTTACTCGAGGACATTTTTGCATTTATCTTCAGATAGAGCAGGAGGGAGAAATGGAGGAGGAGAGAAAACACGGATGTGAGAGAGACACATCGACTGGTTGCCACCCACACAACCCCATCCTGAGCTGGGGACAAACTGCAACCGAGGTACATGCCCTTAGTGGAAACCGAACCCGGGTTTCTCTGGTCCACGGGCCATCATTCTAACCACTGAGCCAAACTGGCCAGGGCAAGTATGTCATTTTTAGGTGAAAATCCAAACACCTTCACACTGCATAGAGTGTGATCAATCACCAGTAACGCAGTCGGTCAATTGCCCAGAATTAAGTATTGCTGACACGTGAACGGGCCGCAACAGTGCACAATGCTGAGGATTTCAAATAAAAGTCTCTCCCGTCCTCCCAGCCGAGGACTAATGTTGTTCTACTGCCCGTTACTGCATAAACACACTGAAATCTAAGAGCTGCTTTTTTCCCCCCTCTCAAATTAGAAACCTATATTATGTAGAAGTCTTAACTGTTCTCTATTTAATCCTAGGGGTAAAAACTTTTATTTAGAAATTTCAAAGAAACATCTAAATATGATAGATTTTCCACAGAAATGGTTATTATTATGAAGCAGTTGATCTAAATCATCCAGTTTATGTGTAACTCTTTTTTTTTTATTAGTTAGTACTCATTTGGGTATTCTGCTCTTGCTCTAAAAATGGACTTAAGATCATTTCTGCTGATGTTTTGCATAAATGTGAGAAACAAATTACTTTTTACCAGAAGCAGAAGAAGATGAACATCTTAAAGGCTCTCCCTTGTAAATTCATGTCAACAAACAAAACTGTTTTCTCTCCAAAACAGATTTTCTAAGGTATAAATAGACTAAACTACACCCTTGAAATAATCAGTAAATTCTAGTCAAAATTTACCTTTGAAATGGCAGAAATTGATAGTTCTAAAGCTGGTTAATAGAGAATGGAACTTCACTGTGTTATTATCTCTCGTTTGGTAATTTTGAACATTCCCATAAGAAGTATTAAAATTTTTCTGTTTCTATTGCCTAGAGTTCCTATTTTCTAAATATTCTCACAACCATGCTATACATACAGTATCATCATTACATCAAAATACTATTCATGTGCTTTTATATGCATATAACAAATATTTATATTTCCATATTAATTAATTCATTTGCATATGAAGATTAACTGCCTTTTATTAAATAGATAGTTGGTGCTACATTTTTTTCTTTGAATAGTTATCAAAAAAATATAATGAAAGTCACAGGCTTTAAAAATTATTCTGCTTTAATTTGATCCAATCTTGTAAATTCCCTGTGGTTTTGCCCTTTCTAATAAAACTTGACTGAATTTTTAAACACTTAACCTGCAATTTACTTTAATTTAAACCATTTTCATTAAAAATTTAATTTTAGAAGTACTCAATCCTCTTGACACATTTTTCAATTAACAACTAAATATGAAATTGACATGTTCACAAATTAATTAGTGTTTAAAGATTAAAGAGGAAATACATAGAAAAAGTATTCCTGTCATAATTAAAAACGGCTGGCCCTGGTCAGTGTGCTCAGTGGTTAGAGCACTGGCCCAAGCACTGGAAGGTCTTGGGTTTGATTCCCAGTCAAGGTCATGTACCTGGGTTGCAGGTTCGATCCCTGGTCCCGGGCTAGGGCACGTGCGGGAGGCAACCAGTTGATGTGTCTCTCTCACGTCAATGTTTTTCTCTCTTTCTCTCCCCCTCTTCATCCCTCCCTTCTGCTCTCTCTAAAAATCAACAGAAGCCCGGCTGGTGTAGGTCAGCGGTTGAGCATCGACCCATGCACCAAGAAGTCACTGGTTCAATTCCCGGTCAGGATGCATGCCCAGGTTGTGGGCCAAATCCCCAGTGGGGGGCATGCAGGAGGCAGCCAATCAATGTTCTGTCACATTGATGTTTCTATCTCTCTCTTCTTCTCCCTGCCTCTCTCTCTCTAAAATCAATAAAGAAAAAAAAAATTTTTTTAATCAATGGAAAAAAATGCCTCGGGAGAGGATTAACAAAATAAATAAATTTTATAAACTTCTGGTTTCACAACTAGCTAGAGTTGGAGGAAACAAAACCTTCCTACGATGTCCTGTTGTATATGTGATCCATCTGCCCAAGGCCCTTTATTTTCTGTACTGGTTAGAGTAAAAATCACTGGACTGTGTAAAATGTTTTCAGTCTTTTCATATGAAGCCAGATAACCATCGCTAAGGTTACAGCTGTACAAGAGGAGTGATACGATTTTTATGTGAGTGGAACACGTAAAAACAACTATGGTATAAACTGTTTCCCAGAAAGGGTATGTCAATTTAATGCCATAAATATAGTGCAGAGACCTAACACATACTAAAATAATGAACCTAATCATTTTTTGAATAGGGAAAAGCATTCTCATTTCTTATGTATCTGAGCCCTAAGGTGTAGGTTTTCATTTGCCGGGATGGCAAATAGTGCTCCTTCTGGTATGTTCACCCAGGGGTGTCTGTTGAGGCGACGAGGTGCAGGGAGGGGGCAGAGGGAGAGAGGATAGCACCATGGCACAAGTGCAAAGAAGTTATTACATGCATACAACTTAATTCAATTCTAGAAAACCAAGTATAGGGGCTCAATGAAGCAGGGTGTTCATAAATTATCTTTAATCTGGCTCTTAACTACAATAAATGATCACATAAAATTCTCACATCCTATTATAATTAACTTTGAAATGACTTACCTAAGTTGATGCTCCCTCAGGTTTGATAAGGCCTCCATGCCATGCAAATAGGAGTACACTATTTCCAGGTCCTGTTTGAAAACAAGGATAGAAATCACTGGGCTTGTCAGGGGAAAAGGCTTCTAAACTAAGTCACTAGATTTACAAACCCAGTTAAACATGGGTGTTTATGTTTTTTAATACAAGTTTTCTTAGACATTAAAAATAAGCATTATTAAGAGAAAAGCTGAATTGCACAAATGCCATCCATTACAACTGCTGTTGGGATATATACAAGAGCAATTAAAATAGAAGACAAATTGGCTCAGACTTATGAAAATAAACTCCCCATAAGTTGTTCTTTATCACCTATTTTCTGACTTTTACATCAAATGTCAAAAGTAAAATTTTAAGTATTCACCAATACTATATTCAAATCAAATAATTTTCTTAGTCAATATAAAATTAATGCATGTTATTTCATGACTACACTTCAAAATGAGCATGAATTCAAATTTTTTCTATTCTTACCACAAATAAGTTTAAATGTTTTCTTTAAAAAGAGAGTGAGAGAGAGAGAGAGATAGTTTGTTTTTCTATATCATATTGCAGCACATAGAATAGAATAAAGATTCAGTTACTCATGAAAGTCAAAATGGGTAAAAATTCAAAATCCTGTTTGTACATTTATTGGACAAGCTAGGAAGGAATGTTAAGACTCCAATACATATCTAGGATTGCCCAGTTTGAGAAATCAGGAATATGAGTCGATATTTAGTTTTTCAAGATTGTTTTGGCTCTTTTGAGTGCCTTGAATTTCCATATGAGTGTTTGAATCAGCTTGTCAATCTCTGGGAAAAAGCCAGAGGAATTTTAATAAGGACTACACTGAATCTGTAGATCAATTCACATAGAACTCCCATCCTAACAATTTTAAGTCTCCCAATCTATGACATGGGATGTATTACCATTACTTACATCTTTAATTTTTTTTCAACATTGTTTTGTACTTTTCAGTGTACTACTTTACTTAAACGTAGTCCTCTCTCTTAATTAAGAAAAACATATCTGTAGCCTTAGGAATATCTCTCAAAACAATTCAAACTATATGTGTCATTAGATTTCATAACGGGCATAGATAGGGACAATGATTTATAGATTAAAGAATTCAAACCTTTTTAAGAGTATACTAAGAAGGTTTTCAGCTTAAACTATTTTTTTGTAGTAAAAAGTATTTTTAGCCCAGCCAGTGTAGCTCAGTGGATTGAGTGTCCACCCATGGAGTGAGAGGTCCTGGTTCAATTCCCGGTCAGGGCATATGCCTAGGTTGAGGGCTTGATCCCCAGTATGGGGCGTACAGGAGGCAGCTGATTGATGTTTCTCTCTCCCTCTCCCTCTCTTTCTCTCTAAAAATCTATTTTTAAAAAAATAAAAGAATGAGCTAATGGGAGGAGTACATCTCATTTATAATTCTAAATTGCCCCAATTTAAAATTTATCAATATTGGAAATTTAAAATGTCTCCATCTGGTGGCCAACTTTCAAAAAATTAATTGTATTCACCTGTACTGTTACTTCCCACAAGTCTATTAAAAGCTATTTAAGGACTGAAACTTAAAGCTAGACCCTATAAGTTCAATACAAAAAAAAAAAAAAAAAATCAAAAACCCACCTTTCCCACCATCTAGTTAACAAAGTGCACATCCCTACAACTAATGAATCCCTTCTTTAGAAGCAATCAGATGCCAATCATAACATTCTATTTGCATCTAAGGAAAGCCAATAAAAATATCCTGATCAATGAGTTTTCTTTAATGCTTATAATAAAATGTCCTTCTGAATAATCCTAAACTTCACACTCTACTTTATTATAAATATGTATCTTAATTGCAGCCGTCAAATGGTACAAAAAGACCCCCATTTCTGAAGAGCTTATATTCTGAATCTAATAGTAAATGTCTTACATTTTTTTCCCATTAAGCACCTATCAACCCACTGGAACCTGCCCAAGGCCTACAATTCTTTTATCTAAGCAAACAGACAAGACTACTTATATTCATTTAGCACTCATCAAGCAAATACATTTATACTACCAAAAATACTTTGGGGGTGGGGGGGAGTAGTAGAAAGAAGTAAAATTCCTAAAGACTGCAGAAGGGAGAAGTCTTAAAAAAAAAAAAATGAAGGAAGCAAGAATTTGGAAGCTTAGGAACAGAATGAAGAAAAGAAAAGCTTTAAGTCTTAAGAGACAACAGGCCTGGAAGGAATCAAGCCTCTTCTCACTCACACAAACCAAGCAAAATCAAGGTAAGAAGCATGCCCCCTGACCCAATGGCACTTTATTAATCTGTTATTTCCTAACATTATGGAGTTTCGTAGTTGTACAGGGGTCATGTTCCTATATAAAGTTAAGTCACACCTGCTACATGTGTTGGTATGATATACATGAACCTAACTTCGAATGAATAATTTGCATAAATATACAGAATATATCCATGAATAAGAACTACCACCATTATAGCTTTATCTTAAAACAATATGCATAATTATAACTTGGAAATTAAGTAAGATTGTTGATTACTTAATAAGAATGTGGAGAATAATGGTGTATTGTCACCTATAAGTCACTGGTCAGGAAGCTGATATTATAAAACGGAGAGGGTGAAGGGAAGAGACTGACCATTACTTCATGACCAAACTTAAAAGGCAGTTTCCATCTATATGTCTGTAGCTGCATAAATAAAACATTCAGACCTCAAATAATCATGATGTTTAAATATGGCCACTCAAGCAATATACCACCAGCAACCCTTTGCTACTGTTTCATGTATTTTAGATGCTTAACTAGACTATAAACTTCTTAAGTGAATTCAACAATTATGTCCAGAGTTCACTCTTAGAATAGGTCATCTCAAAAGAAACTCGTTTTAAATGGTCTATGCCACAAAGAGCTTATAAATGAGGGGAGCAGACAACAGTACTCAAGAGGAACCTGTTACATGGAAAGCAATATAATCTAGCTTGAATTAGATGACTTTAAAGATGGATTCTGCCTAAACTTGAGATCTCGTGACTGTAACTAACAAGAAATGCTGAGAAACTGAAGTCTAGATGGCAGAGAACAAACAAGTAAATGCAATGACCCACTATGCACCATGAATGTGACATCACAGATCTGGGTACACTGGAAAAGCAGAGAAGCTATGGGAAGGGCACCAGCAAATCTCTGCTCACAGACGCTGAGCAATGTAAGAAATTTGACTAGAGGTGAATAAATGAAATGCAAACGAAAGGAAGGAGGAATCTCGGCTAAGCGTTTAGTCAGAACTAAAAAAAAAAAAAAAAAAAAAGACCCCAGTAGCCAAACACTAGGTTTACCAAGGATTAGGAATTGCAAGTAAGGTAAAAAACAATGAAAGGCAAAAAGAAAGACAAGTTTTCTCCTTTTCTAGGGCCAAGGTGAATTGGGCAATTTTTTTTTAAAATAGACAAATATGGCCTTTTGAGAATCTTATCAGTTTTTCTATCCTCTTCCAGAGTGTCCAGCAGCCTCACATCACTAGTCCTCATTCTAGGGCACTGTGCCCTCGTATAAAAATTAAAGGAAGACAATCCCGCCCCGCCAGTGTGGCTCAGTGGATTGAGCGCTGTCCCATGGACTGAGAGGTCCATGGTTTGATTCCTGGTCAGGCCACATGCCTGCGCTGTGTGCTCAATCCCCAGTAGGGGGCGTGCAGGAAGCAGTTGATGGATGTTTCTGGCATTGATGTTTCTCTCTCTCTCTCTCTCTCTCCCCCCCTTCCTCTCTCTCTAAAAAATTAAAACACATTTTTAAAACATTTTTAAAGGAAGACAATCTGAAATAAATCCAGGCGTGAGTGTCCCAGTGGGGGCCCTGAACCTTCCATAGGGAGAATCATCTGTCAGTATTTGCATTTCCACAGTCCAGACAAACCTAAGTGGCAGGAAATCTCAGGCAGCACAGCCAGGAGAAATGAAAGAGATGGCAGTGTGCGCGACGAGGTTCGAGGGCATGAGAGCCGAGCGCAGCAGCTGATATCTGCCCAGGAACTGCTCCCACCCTTCGCTCCTAGAAGTCACCTTAACTGCTCCCCTTCGCTTTTCACACAGAGGTTTCAACCGCGTTTCCCCTTCATGGTTGACCTTTATTAAAATAATCTACGAGTTGGTATGGAATTGCCCTCATCCAGCAAGGGAACAAACAGGCAAAGGGGTAAGGAGCAGAGGAAGTCTAGTTCTTCAAAGCAATCTGGAATTGATAACCTTCGGTGAAAACGAGATAAAACAGAGAGGTTTCTCTTAAGACGAACAGAGAAATGTATGGCCTTCAGGATGTTACATTCTTGGATCCTAACTGTTTTCTCTGCACAAGCAAGAGATACCTACAGAGCGAAGTTATGTTTCAACAATCTTGGCTATTGAAAAAGAAAAACCACTGGAGAGTTAAATCACCTAAAATGTTTCCATTTCCACTTCTGTTAGGAAAGTATGATATGCAACCTGAAAACTTTCTAACCTCCCCAACTGCTCCTCCCACGACAAATAAAAACTCACATGACTATTACTATTTTAAATAGCCCTTTAGAAGCGTGAGCTATTTTCCCCCCAAATAATTCTCTAGCCTTGAATACAAACAGGAACACATTGCTCTAATCAGGAAGTCGCGTTTTTTTTAGAACAATAAGCCTTTCCTTCTACCCGAGGAAGGACATCCTTTTTTTTTTTCCAAAAACAGATGCTATTTGAAAGCAGATTGAAATTATCAAAAACAATGAAACCCAGCGGACAAAGATACTGGCAGGCCAAATGAAATGCAATTTTTCCATAAAAAAAGACTTTTCTTTTGGTTCCAAATGTAAACCATGTATGGAAATCCCAAAGCACCCCCTGTGTTATCTAGGAGCGTGACTGTTCACAACCTGATAGACCCGCCTGCCGGAATCCGTGCGCCCACACACGCATGTGGGGAGTAAGCAGGAGGGAATGTTCTCCGCTTCGCCTGCGCTCTCTCCAATGTCTCCTCGGAGACTCCTTCAGAAGGTTAACAGGCCTCATACCAAACTTACAGTTCACGTAAA